AATAATTAAAAACAGAAACAGGCTGTGTTAATTAATAATGTAAATAATAAAAGACAAATTAAAAATATGAATTAAGAGATTAAAGAATTTAAGAAATCAGAAGAAAAGAATTAAGAATAAAAGAATGTAGTGATGCAATTAAGATCATTACTGAAGATAGAGGATGAACTGGTGACAATATTAAACAAATAATGATGTATAATGAGAAAATTCTCATATTTAACTGGTATTCATTTAAGAGAGTACAAGAAATAATCATCAGATATACTGAGAAAACAGATGATAAATTTATCAAAAATGATAATAAGATGGAAATATTTGAGAAGAAATTTGAAAGAACTATTCTTTCTCTTGCAAATCATACTATTAAACTAATATATTATATTATTATTAATAATGATAATGATCAATACATAATCTAAAGATGAAATAATATAGGAGTTCATGATATGAGATAACTTTCTAATATGTGAGAGGTTGACTCTAAAGCTACGCAAGAAGTTAGAAATGAGATTTCAAAACTGGATATTTATTTATATTATCTCAATTATAATCAAAATACTATACACAAACTTAAGTTAAGAAGATACATAAAAATAATACAAATAACTGAAGAAAGTATTATTATATCATATTACTATTTATTTTGTAAGAAACTTTGATGCTTTTTTATAAGAGATAAAATATGTTTAATACATATATAAAAAGTATATGAACATGTAATTCAAGCTCTATACTATGAATTATTTAACTGTCCAGCAATAACTTTATATGATAGATTGTTAACTAAATTATTTACTGATAAGCATCCTTATTTTATTTATATAAATTACTTTATAATATATGGAGACCATTTATATATTCAGCTAGGAAAAGAAAAATGATTAGTTTTATGCTTAAAATAAGAGCAATACAATACTGATACTATCTTTACTTTGAAATTATTTGATAAATAGATTAAACAGACCACTATATCAGATAATAAAACTATAAAAGTTAGTTTATTAAAAGAGCTTATCAATATTCTTGGTAATCTTACCATGGATATACCTGAGATACAGAATATCATTAATATGTTTTCTACTATTTTCACAGTTTTAAGTCTTTTTTTAATCAAAATAGCATTTGCTATTAAAAAAATTGAAGTATAAGTAACACAATTAAAAATCACTATATGTAAGAACTTTAAAAGAATACTTACTTACTCTATATTACAAGTATGATCAGAACTCAAACAGAAATTATCATCACTCAAAGAATCAGAATTCCTGAATGAATACTACAATGCTATGCTATTACCCCTTATAAATCTTTTTGTTGATTTGATTTTAGTTCTAGAAAAAAAGAGGAATCAAGTATTAAATAGAAAATGAAAAAAGAGAAACTTACCTCCATTACAATTAGATGAAAAAAAAATCAAAATCTTACCTCTCTTTTTCACTTCTATTTTATTTATCATTACCTTTTGTCATTGAAAAATATGATTTATACATATTCTTTCTTCTTTTTATCAATGATTAAAAATAATAGTATCTTTGCACAAAATTCTTTATGCAGTTTAGGTAGTATTATATATTAGGAATCATGAAGTACATATTTAAAAAAAAAGAATGTTAGCTGCAGAATCTTGATTAAGGCTCGATCTATATCTGAATATTTGAAATCTTGCAGTTATCAACAATATCAATATGAAAGATAATACTTTTTAATATGATAATATTTTTAATATAACTCGTAGTACTGCACATGTGATATTATGGATAGTTTTTCAGTTTTAATATTCAGCACTTGCTAATATAAATAGAAAATCATTAGAAAATTCAAATCTATTTGGCAGAAGTTCTATTATGAAAAAATGACAAGAAAAAATTTATATCATCTTTGACCAATTAATTAATAAAGAGCAGAAATTTGGTATTGAATATCTTGATGTAATTATTAAAAAAGATATTGACTCAGTATTATTTGTAATATCTTCAAATATTATGATTCTTGAGTCTGAAGAAGTTTCAAGCAAAAATAAGTACATTCATCAAGCTGTCAATATATTTCTAGAAGATTTTAATTATATGGAGAATAGCATATTACATTTGATATGTGATGAAGTAATTTATTATCATATGAAAAATTACAAGAATGAAGAGTAAATGGTATATTGTATTCTAGAATAATGACATATTAACAAGTTAATATGCAGTATACTAATTACTATCTTTTTTGATTACAGACTTTTTGGACTTATTATACAACTTAATATTTGATTTCTTAACAGATTTGAACAAGTTACTGATTATTAGATAATATTTTGAGTACTTGAATTCATTTGGATAGCAATTAGAGTTGTGATCTATCTATATATTCAGGAAGAGAATATTTCTATTAGTGATATTCTCATAACAAATAATAATCTGCTTAAAATATGGTATAACTTTTACTAATAGACAGAATACTTGAAATTGCACAAGCTTGATATTCACATGATAAACTTTAATTTGCAAATACATAGCTTGATGGTATTCATTCCTTTATTTCTTATAACAGAAAAAAGAAGATATACTATGTCTGTAGCACAATTTTTATTAGATCTTTAAAGCAAGCTAGAATTTCTTCAAGCTCTTTGGGTAATGTCTTCAATCAATTTGACATGTGAGAAATATTATTTTATTTTTGATAAGACTCTAGAAATATTCAGAGTAAAATTTATAAAGAAAAATATGACTGAATAAATAATTAATTTAAAGAATTTAAAATAGAATATCAAAGTAATATAAGCAGAATATGACTAACTTAACTTGTTAATTTCAGAATTTGCTAGAGATTAGTCAGTGAGCAGAAGTTCATAATCTGTTAAGGATCATTAAGAAGCTTTTTAAAAATTAATTACTGAACTCAAAGTAAGATTTAGTAGCTCATAACCAGAATCACACCCCTTATTTGCAAAAGTTACATAATTGATAAATGTTAGTTTCTAACAAATATTTACTTGCTATGAATCAGAAATTGAAAAAATGATCATTATTATTAAGCAAGATATTCATCATACTGTTTCTCAAGTGAAAGTAGGATAAGATAGATAAATCTAATATCTATAAAGCTGACAAAGAAGAAGAAGACTGATCACATATCAGAAAGAAGGATAGAAGCAGAAGATAATAATTCTGTACAAGTTTCAGAACTAATTAATATGAAAGTTGAAGAAATTAATTCAGAATTAATTAATATGAAAGTTGAAAAAATTAATAAAAAAGACTTGCAATCAATACTATTATCTGGAATTGGTCTGTCTTCTGGATTCATACTTCAAATATCACATCCAACAAAATATAAATCCACAATAGTTGAAGAATAATATCTGAAATAACTTGAAGCATATAAAGACTTCACTATATTATCCAGAGAAATTGTCAATGAGCTGGTGAAAAAGTTGTCATAATATACTAATTATTAAACATCAAAACAAGTTTGAGATTAATGATATAACTGATATAAGAGATCAAAAAAGATATGTGTAAATATACTTTGAGATGAATCTGAATTAAATATTGTATTAGAATTTATATAATTCAAAGCAAATTATCATTATAACTTCTATATTACCTTCTTCTTATTTAGTTAAATCTTGAAGTATCAGCTAAGAATGACAATCTAAATGAATAAGAAATTTTAAATCTTACATACATTTTGACTCACATTTGACATTCTAATAATTATAAAAAAAATTTTTGTTAATTAAAAGAAATGCTGTTATTTATACTATACCATGAAACAGCTTTTCCTAATTTTCTTTCACATGTACCAACCCCTTGAGGTAAAACTTTGTAGATGGTTCTTGTTTGGGCATATCTGGTGAATCATTTTTTATGATAAGAATTTGTGAACTGAAGAATAATCTAGCAAAAATAGGCAAAACAGACGCCAATTTTGAAGGCATTTCACTTTACAGGGAGATATTAGTTTTTCGTGATCTTTGCACTGATCTGTTCGTAGAAACCTCAACAACAATTTTGTTTTAGGGAACTTTGTGTGTTTTGGCTAAGACTTTGGACAAATATTCACATGTATGATTAATCGATTTTTTTAAATCGATCGACATAATATGCTTAATTTTTACTTGTGACAAATCGTGATTAACGATTAACAATGTAAGTGGTGCGTTATTTTTGCAGGCCACTGTATATCATAATCCGGATCGAATTGTAATTATTCAGGAGTTCTGTTACAATGATTATGGATCGAAAATTTCAAGATTTCTTTTCTTCATGGCTATCCAGAACAAGAGAGGTACTTTTTTCAATAAAGTATATTTCAACATTTCTTGTAATAATATCTCGATTTAATTTCTATTATTGTATAGGTCATACTCAGGTAGATTCCTCGTGAATTATTAAATTCAATATTTCCTGCGATGTTTCTAATATTCACTTTTATTATTAAAAAAAGGCCGAGTTAATGGTGAAATGTTGCGCCGAGATCGTTAATGACTTGATTTCAGCGCACGAAGCCGGTAAAGACGTCAATTTAAATGGTCTCAAAACAAAATATTCGCGAAAAAACAAGCTTGGGACACAACCCAAGCTTGTTGACATAATTGCAGCAATACCTGAACAATATAAGCAACACCTTTTGCCAAAACTTAAGGCCAAACCAGTTCGGACGGCTTCGGGGGTATAAAATATTTAAATTATATATTTATCGTTTTATTGGTAACTAATCTCCGATGATTTTTTAAAGATTGCCGTTGTGGCTGTTATGTGTAAACCGCATCGTTGTCCACATATAGCAATGACTGGTAATGTTTGCGTGTAAGTAATAAAAATGTTATGAACCAGCTATTTGAATTCGATATTTTTAATGTTTCTTTCTATATTGCATTGAACAAATAAATCTTAGATATTGTCCGGGTGGACCTGATTCGGATTTCGAGTATTCGACACAATCATACACCGGTTATGAACCTACGAGTATGCGTGCTATTCGTGCCAGGTATAATCCATTGGAACAGGCACGAGGACGCGTCGATCAATTAAAGAGTTTAGGACATAATGTAGATAAGGTTTGTAAAAAATATTTTAAGAATTATTATTACTCCACGTTATCATTTCAACATGATTTCGTGTCATTAGGTTGAGTACATTATAATGGGCGGGACTTTTATGTCGCTACCAGAAGATTATCGAAATTGGTTCATTGCAAATCTACATAACGCCTTATCTGGTCATACTTCAGAAGATGTAGATGAATCTGTGAGGTATGTCACTAAACTGCGCTTAATATCAACTTTAGTAATCCATTAATCATTATTTATATTTAAGATTTTCCGAGCAAAGTCAAACAAAATGCATTGGCATCACTATTGAGACGCGCCCAGATTATTGTCTGAAGCCACATCTCAGGTAATTTTCGAATATGATAACATTGAATTTAAAAGCATATAAATTTTTTTAGCTTTATATTTATCAAAAAAAAATTAGCCAGATGTTACGTTATGGTTGTACCCGTCTTGAAATAGGGGTGCAGAGTATATATGAAGATGTTGCTCGTGATACGAATCGTGGACATACTGTCAAAGCGGTGACAGAGTCGTTTCAATTAGCAAAGGATGCAGGTTTTAAAGTAGTTGCTCATATGATGCCTGATCTTCCGAATGTAGGAATGGAGAGAGATCTTGAGCAATTTAAGGCAAGTCTTTGCAAAATAACTTTAATTTGATATTAATAATGATTATCCAACAAGAACAAATTCTAAAATTTATAGGAATATTTCGAAAATCCTGCATATCGTACAGATGGATTGAAAATATATCCTACTTTGGTTATAAGAGGAACCGGTTTGCTTCGCATTAAGAACCTGTGATTAAAGTATACATATATATTTATTAATTAATAATGTGTAAGAAGCTCATAATAATTTCTTAATAAAGGTCTTTATGAACTTTGGCGAACTGGACGATATAAAAATTATTCACCGAATGCGCTTGTAGACCTTGTTGCTAGGATTTTAGCCCTAGTACCACCATGGACTCGTGTTTATCGCGTGCAAAGGTTTGTTGGATTTCTTCTCGTTGAAAGAGTGATCTGCGATTCATCTTTTTTATTATTGATTTTTTAGGGATATTCCAATGCCCTTGGTTACTTCTGGTGTTGAACACGGAAATTTACGTGAACTTGCTTTAAACAGAATGAAAGATTTGGGTACTGAATGCCGTGATGTCAGAACAAGAGAAGTTGGAATAGTAGATATTCACAATAAAGTGAAGCCAGAGGAGGCAGGTTTTTTTTTGCATTAAACAGAGCATTTGACTTTGAGAAATGCATCTATAGTTCAAACCATTTACCCATAAAAATAGGTTGAATTAATTCGCCGTGATTATGTGGCAAATGGTGGTTGGGAGACGTTCTTGTCATATGAGGATCCGAAACAAGATATTCTTATCGGATTACTTCGCTTACGAAAATGTTCGGAAGCCACCTTTCGTCCAGAACTTACTAAAGTACAAACTTCTATTGTACGTGAATTACATGTTTATGGTTCTGTGGTTCCTATGCACAATCGTGATCCCACTAAATTTCAACATCAAGGTTATGGCACTTTGTTAATGGAGGAGGCCGAAAGAATTGCTCGGGAAGAACATGGAAGTGAAAAAATCAGTGTGATTAGCGGTGTTGGTGTAAGAAATTATTATGTAAAATTGGGATATGAATCGGATGGTAAGTGTCTTTAAATTTTTTAGATTAAGTTCAATAATTATTATAAATTTTAAAAATCTTGTTTTTAAAGGACCATACATGTCTAAGAAGTTATAGAAGGATTTTTGATGTTGACTCGTTGGAAAAAATTAGTGTAATTTAACAAGAAAATGACTATAGCCATTAAGCAATATACGTTGCTATACTGAAAGCGATGCAACGGTCGAAATTTTTGATATATATAAAAATCAATGTAACAAATCTTTGATCGCATTAGTCTTAAATGGCACAAATTTACTGTTTACTGTTACAAGATTTAATACATGTCATCACTTAAATAAAGGAAAATATGGTTTAGTTATTGTACTTAGATATGATCATACATCATTTTTAATGCTTAAAAATTTAGTGAATTACATTTAAGTGATAAAATAGATCCAAATTATTAGGATATCCTTTTGATTTTAAAAAAGGAAATTGTGGTTATTCTATTTTAGTTCCCGATTTTCTTATGGAGGATTATATCTTGATGTTGATCCTAAAAAATTTTATCAAGCATTTGCCGCAAAATATTTAAATAATAAAGAAGATGAAATAAAATTAAAAATAATTCGGATCAATCAAATAAACCACCTAAAACAGAAAAAGATGGAGATGAAATGGATGAATAAATAAATTTTATTAGATAGTTATTATAATTAAATTGTAAAATAATTAATTTAGAATAGAAAACTATATTTGGATTGTTAAAAATAAATTAATAAAAAAAATAATAATTTAAAAAATAAAAAAAAGTATATAAATACAATCTATTCTTTTTTCATATTTTTAAATTTTATAAAAAAATATTTTATGATTATTATAAATCATCTAATTGTTATTTAGAATATAATAATTTAGAAGATAAAATAGATGAAAAAATATTAATAAAAATAAAAATAATTTATTAAATCAAGAAGAATCAAGATGCTTATTTAGTATTAATTCTTTATATTTAAAACTAGTAAAAGAGTAGAAAGACAACAAATTAACACTTTTATTAATCAAGTATTAGAAAAAGAGTTAGATAATAACAAAATAACTAAAGATGAATTAAATTAAGATATAAAAATAATTTATAAATAATTTTTATAAATAATTATTATAATTAAATTATATAATAATTTATTTTTAAAAAAATATATAATATATTTTTATTTTAATAAAAAAAATAATAAATTAATAATTAAATTTAATAATTTAATAATTTTTATATATTAAAAAAAGTATATAAATATAATCTATTTATTTTTATTTTTTTAATTTTTGTAAATATTAAAAAATAACTTGTGTATATTAATAATCAAAAAATTTAAATATAGTATGTAACAAAAAAAATCAGATATTTTAATTTTCTTTATAAATATTTAAAATAATATAAAAATTTAAATATATATACTTGAGAATATGATAAATAACTTTATTTAAGACTACTTGAATATTTATCTTATTAAAATTTTTTATAATTTATATTTTTAAAATT